AGATAAAGTTTTCCCAAGTCTATTGGCAATAGCAGATTTATCCGTTAGCAAAGTGTCACCATCCTTTAAATGGTTTACTGTAGAATTTGATCCCTTGCCTTTGATCTTTTTGATCATGTTCCATACCTTGGACATAGGGGTACGAGTGTTTATTTTGGAGACATAGTTCCTCCATGATTGACGTTTATTTTGCTTAAATAGACGTCTTGCCTTAGCATTTGAAATTTTGACAGTGTTTAAATTATGGACAGTAGGATGTTTACGGAAGTATTTCTCCGCCTTCTTACGACATTTCCTAGCTTGTTTGCACGTGTCATCAAACCATGGTTTACGAACACGTGGGTTGGTAGAGGACTTTGGTATTGATTCATCAGCAATTTCATTCAGTTGATCTGAGAACAACTGAATGGGGTCAATAACATTCTGAAAAGACGTAGGTTGTAATTTATCTTTGCATAAAGATTGAAATAAAAGCCAATCAGCCTTCACAAAATTCCATCGAGGTGAAGGTGGATCATCAGCGGGATTAATGGGCTTAAGCACCGTGGGGAAATGGTCACTCCCACATAGGTCGTCATGGACGGACCATGAGAATTCATTTAACAAAACTGAATCCGTCAAAGACAGATCTAAAGATGAATAGGTACCAGTAGCAGGGTGTAAGTAAGTGTCTGAGTCATCATTAAAAATGCAAAGATCATTATCGGAAACAAAATCTTCGATCACTTTTCCCTTTTGATTAATGGTTGAACTTCCCCATAAAGGATTATGCCCATTTAGATCACCCATGATGACACAGGGCTTTGGGAGCTGGTCGTATAGTTTTTGTAGATCATTACGCTGAAGATTTGAAGATGGAGGAATGTATAAGGAGCAAAGTGTGAAGGCAATATGCAGTGTAAGTCTAACTGCAACTGCTTGCAGAGTCGAGTCAAGCGGAACAGGACTGTGAACAACGCCCCGCCGCACTAAAAGAGAAGCACCTCCAGTAGCTTTATCTCCTGGAGGAGAGAAGGAATGATATGAACTATATTGCTTTAAATCAAACTTATCTGTATTTTTAAGGTACGTCTCTTGTAAACAAATTGCTGATGTATTTAAATCACTTGTTAATAACTGCAGTTCATGAAAATTATGCCTAAGTCCTCTGCAATTCCATTGCATTATATTAGACAATTGAGTCATGGTGGCTCAATTGGTGATCGCTCGCGTGAATGTGAGGAGGAACTGCTCCCCCGCCTGTCCTGTGAGGACAGAGTAACCTCCATGTCCAGAGGCCCAAAGGAGTTCTGTAAAGGAACCTCTGAAGGTGAAGGGACAATAGGTGGCTGTTTTCTACTCAATTTCTTTTTCTCTTTTTTTTTCAGATTTGCAGGTTGTTTCCCAGACGTTTGGGATTGTGTCTCAGACTGAGTCTCAGTCTGAGATCCTGAACTTGATTGACTGATGGCAGGAATAGGTGTGGAAATAGTGGAATTTGGAAATGTAGCAACAGGTTGTTCTGACTTGACCCATGTCAGGTCAGTCTGACACGAAATAGATGATGTTGTTACGGGGCGTGAGACTGCAGCGGAGTAAGAAATAGTTGAAGTAGTTGTGGTCTGATCTTTCAATAGTTTCTTTGCATCCAGGTAGGGTATGTTCCTTTCACATTTCAGTTTCATTATTTTAGATTCAATTTGCCATACAGGGCAAGATTTAGATGAAGCAACATGTGGGCCAGAACAGTTAGCACATTTCAAATCATCTTCGCAGTCAGTGCTCTCATGGTTGACACCGCAACGATGACAAACAACCGAGTTTCGACAGGATTTGGAGCCATGACCAAAACGCTGACACTTGTAGCATCGGAGCGGATTGGGGACATACACATCCACTCCGATGTGGAAGTAACCTGCTTTAATTGACTGGGGAAGGGTTGTACGAGCAAACGTCATTAGATACGTGTTTGTATTGGTGATGACACCGTCCTTCTTGAAAGTAAAACGTTTAACTGCAGTAACAGCCTGGTCTCCCAACTCCGTAGCGATTTCTTCTTCAGACATGTCGGACAGACAACGAGCCCTGTCACGAACAATGCCTCGACAAGAATTTAATGTTCTGTGCACAGACACAGCAACCTCAAGATTGGCAAATGTAGAGATAGATAAAAGATTGAGAGATTGCTGTCTCCGTGCACACTCCACAAGAAGCGAACCACTACGGAGACGGGTGACGTTCTTGACTTCACCGCAAATCCCGGACACAGCCTTAGAAACAGCAAAAGGATTCAATTTGATAGGTAAGTTATCAGTAGCCTCAATCACCAGGAATTTTGCCCAGGAATCAATAGTTTGCGAAAGATTTCCAGTTGAAATTTCAATTTCCTCCAGACGTCTCTTTTTTTCATTACGAGATGAACCAGATTGTGGGAGAGCCATGATGAAAAGAAAATGATTCAGCACCCCTGTTCCCCACCCCCCATCGAGTGTCAACAAGGACGGTGTTATATTGCACCGGATATCCAGGATGCAAACACCAGGGATACAGGGATGGTATACTCCAGAGAATATGACGTGAATAGCTATATTTATCTACCAGATGTAGTGCCAGGAAGGTTCAGTCCATGACAAGAAACTGGAGACATACAGAATACAGAGGTCAACATCACCAGATTGGCCCATGAGCCACCGCCTTCTGGCGTAAGACTCTAGGCAATTTATTCCATCAAAAATTGGTAATTCATACAAAGTATGCTTGGCCAAGTCCAAAATATACATTATAATACAACACAGGAGTGCATATACAATATTACGCACAGGGCCTGGCATGACCAGCCGATTGATAAGACCGGGCCCATCTTACCACCCGTCTAGGCGAAGTAAGGGTCGAAGTAGTGTGTTGGGCAAAGGAACACAGTTCTAGGAACCAGTGCCCTCAACTACCAGACTCCCGTCCTCCGCCGACACAGGGACGCAACCCACGGCAAACAGGTTGCCCATTTTAGTCGCCTCATACGACCAGCAATGGGAGGCTGTGGAAATATTCTGCCCCGGTTCCACACGGGGGAAGAGCTATTTGCATTACCCAGCACTCACCACGAGGAGGTTGCTCTTCACGAGTGCCATTTCATTTTGGAACCAGATGAAGCCGAATATGTATGTTCACAGTTCTTTTGTCAACCATGCGTGACACGGCACAGGCAATCGCAGTTAGGGAATGGTGCGGCCACCATGTTGCAGAAATTCGTCGATTCGAACACGTTGTTTCTGGACTGAGCTATATATACGAAGTGTTTGGAGAGATCGTAGATACTTGGACTTGAAGAAACGGAATTAAACGTTGCAGCAAATGAAGGATTGGTGTGGACAAAACGGGAAAGGGATCCCAGGTTGTATTTTAAAACTTGTGCGCGAAGTGTATCCAAATACCCCGAACAAAAAATACATGGGACAAGTGTGGATCTAATGATCAAACTCAGTTTTGTGTGTGAAAATTCTGTGAAAGCAAAGGAAATTCATAATTAAAGTTGTCTTGGAATATGTGTATTGGAGTTTTCGTTTATCGTAAGTACAGTATTATCCGGATACGCCTTCTGTAGGCCAAAACATCAAGTATAATCAGTTACTTATTTACCAGTTGCTAATGTGCATTGTTATGGTGATACACGTGACATATTCATCTATTGTAGTCCAGCTGAGAAATATTGGCGCAACTTCTGGTGCTTTAAATTAGGCCCCTTCCTAAACACTAGTTGAAAAATCTCTAATAATTTACGTTTCGTGAATAGAAACTGATTATTGTGTGGCACAAATCTAACTGTTGAATGCAAATGACCAAAACTCAACAAATATCTGTAATTTTCAGATTGAACTGAAAGAATTACGTCGTTAATTTCGTATTAAAGTATCGTTACTGATACATTAACTGAAACTGATGTTCTGCTGCTGTTCTGCCGTAAAAATATACAACACAATACACTTTGACCACAAATGCATTAAATGTGCCACATGTACACATGACCATGTGCTTTGCTATTTATAGCGCAAACGTAAATAAGCTCCGCCCACTGTGATCGATGCAGACGCCAAACACGATCGATTCGATTTTTTAGAATAAAACTACAGAAAATTTATTGACTTATATCTTGATATGGAGCCATTTATTGTATCCATGGTTTGTCATTCAAGTTGATACAAAGTTTGACGGTCAATGGTGATCTTGTTCCCGTATGGTTTTCAAAAAACGTCTCCCAACACTCGGTTGTGTTTACATTGTCAGTCATTGTTCGAAACTGAAACACCGCCACCTTGCGGGCTATTTATAGTCAGGGTGGGGCTTTAAACGATTTGCAATTTTTGCATATGCCTTGATTCAATATTTTATCATCAATTTCTGTATCATTAGGGACGTAAAGTACGCAATCTATTTATAATTTTCTTAAGTCGTTGTATTTTTTTAACTTTCAGGGAATAAAAACATTGACAAAATTATACCTAAAGTCTAAATTGTTGTTTCCAATTTTGGTATACTGAGTGTACTTTTAGTCATTGGTGTAAGTAAACGAACAGCGGTAACTGTTTCCTGAAAGTAAAAGACGTATATTTGAAATGGTATAGAAAACAGCATTGGTCGCCCATGTGAATAATACATTCAAGCCCTCGAACGCGTCTACATCCAAACTCTCACTCGCTCGTTCCACCCGTGAAGATCCGGGGCAGAATAGTATCAGCAACTCAAGCTTGCCGTAAAAGACGACTGTGTTTGTCGTAAGAGGAGACTAAGGGGATCGGATGGTCAGGCTCACTGATTTGGTTGATGCATGTCATTGTATCTCAGTTGCGTAGATTGATGCTCATGATGTTAATCACTGGATTTTCTGGTACACATTTGATTATTTACAGACCTCCGTCATATAGCTGGAATAATACTAAGCGCGGCGTTGAACAACAAACAAACACACTCACTCGTCCTGTTCAAATTCCAACTCAATAACACGCTCCTTAGCTCCGCCGTAGAACCGTATGAGCAGACAGATGAGTCATAACACGATATGAAAGTAGCCATGTAAATGATATTGAAAGTCCGCTGTTTCCCTCTTTCCTAGAAACAGAACCGAAAGTAGACCATGTGGTTGATGAAAATTCCGACACGTCAGCTCTGATCAACACTCATGTCCACCGCACTACTTCCAAGAGCCCTTCATTGAATAGACGGTTTTCACCCAGTGACACAACAATGGGGGTAAGTGTTACTGTTTTCACCCAGTGACAGAACAATGGGGGTCAGTGTTACTGTTTTCACCCAGTGACAGAACAATGGCGGTAAGTGTTACTGTTTTCACCCAGTGACACAACAATGGCGGTAAGTGTTACTGTTTTCACCCAGTGACAGAACAATGGCGGTAAGTGTTACTGTTTTCGAGGAAAAACATACCACAAAGCGTAGAGGGTATTTAGCAAACTTCCCTCATTGTCTGAAGTAATTATTATTTTTAAAGTTAATTAATAATAAATCTGAATCACTGTAACTGTCCCGGTCACATTCTGGTCAGTGCTAAGTGTTATTTACTTGTCCACTTATACAAATTTACCCTTGTTTCAAAAGGTTTTGTAAGATTAGAAAAAAACAACCCCAAAAAACCCTACTTTTTCAGAAGCCTTAGTCTGTCCTGAACATGAAATCATATGTCATATGTTATCATGTGCTTGTCAACTTATCAAAATGTCACCACAGTTTAAAGAGCTGATACAGAGTCGTAAATCAATATCATATGTAGGCGTTGTGTGTATAGCAACAGCTGCAGGATGTCAAATGTGCAGCTAATATTCATGTGTTCAAAGGTTTAAGTACAAGCTCTAGTGGCTTGATCGGCGTACAAATGGCTGTCCTTGGAGCCATTTGTACGCTGGTCCTACCAAGCTAATTCTTCGTACAAAAGTCTTTATAAATCTGGTATAATACGTTTTGAAACTGTGACTAATCTAGCACACGTCCAGGTTTTCCATAACCTTGGGTCACTATGACCCTGATAATATGCGATTGGTAGTCGAGTGGTTAAAGATCAGTCTGCTGAGAAAAAATCCATGCATTCCAAAAGGTATACTTCCCATGCCGCTTAAATAAACAACCGAAATTGTGTTGAATTTCCATTGTATATATACTAGTATATATATACTTTCCCTCGCCTTATAGCTATGTGGGTCACAATGACCCTAAACATGTCACGAGTCAAATGATATTTTTAGATCATTATTACACTAACTGATAAATCGTTGATCCCATGTGGCGCAGAACCGCTTCTCTTTCACATACCCATCTTCGAAAAGTTTTTTTGTCGCTATATGGCACAGACATTACTGATACGACGTTAAACCTTAGCCTAGGAGGAGATAAAACAAAACCAAATAGAAAAAGACTGACCATTGAACAGATTTGACCTTATTTGCCTGGTAAATATATTTATCGAGGTTGTCCATAAAAGTGTTTTCGGGGTATGATTAATAATCATAATTTTCCGATGAACATTATAGTTACAATCCCATGATTGCGAAGACCTGGATTATCACTGGGCGCCTCGTTATGATATTAAAGGAATATTGCTAAAAGTGGCCTGAAGCTTTACTCACTCACATGCTCCTTCGTCTTTTGACCGCCTCCGTGGTCTAGTGGTAGAGCATCCGCCCGGAGAGCGGAAGGTCCGGGGTTCGATCCCCGACCGCGTGATACCAAAAGACGTTAAAAGATGGTACTTGTTGCGACCCTGTCTGGCGCTCGGCATTAAGGGGCTAAAACAAGGACTGGTCGGCTCGGAGTCAGTTTTCCGTGTCTGAGTGGGGTATTCATGTTAAACTGCGGCATGGTATCTCAGTGAGCTAGCACTATAAATCGGCATCAGTCCGGACTAGTACAAGCAGCCACACAAACACATGCACGTCGCTATATAAGTGCAATAATCTTGGACGCGATGTTAAACGCCATTTCACCTCACCTTTCGTCTTTTGAATCGGGCGGTCGGGTAGCCCAGTGGTTGAAGCGTTCGCTCGTCACGCCGTGATATTGTTGGAATATTGCTAAAAGGGGCGTAAAACCACACTCACTCACTCACTCTTTCGAATCATAACCGGAATGGGTGTACATATGAACGAGAGAGTGAATTAGTTGGGTTTAACGCCACTTTAAACAATATTCCAGTTATATCACGGCGTGTCAGCTTAATGTGGGAGGAAAGCCCGAAGTGATGCAGGTCTCAGACGTGTACCACTTCGATGAAACCCACGAGCACGGATATGGTGCTGACAAACCTAGAAACATAATCGGGGCGAACCGGGTTAGAACCCATAATCATAGGTTTCTGGCAAGTCCATTATTCCTAGTTGCCTTTCTGAACGTTTGATAAGCTGGAGGTACCATGTACTCAATAACCTAACGTATTGACTTGTATCAGCACTGGCAATAGCATCCCTTCCACATGAACACCAGTTACTCTCAAACCGTGAAGATTCCGGGGTAGAATAGGTCTTCAGGAACCCGTAAAAGGCGACCATGCTTGTCGTAATAGACCAATACGAATCGAGTATTTTCTAAATGTAAGGTAGAATCACATGTGCATTAACAAGGTGTTGTATTTCAGGATTCTCAAGTTGTGGACTTAAACGTTGGTGGTCGACATCTGACAACCTCCCTGTCTACCCTCACCAAGTACCCGGACTCCATGTTGGCCACCATGTTTAGTGGAAGGCATCCGGTAGCAAAGGACAAAGATGGCCGCTACTTCATAGATGTAGATGGAGATGTGTTTGTTCATATCCTCAACTTTCTGAGATTCGGGAAAATGCCTCCACCCGAAAGAGCATCAGAGGTTAATGAATATGCGGAGTACTTTGGATTAGAGGAACTGAGGGCACCTGTCCTCGAAGAGTTTGAACAAGTGCTATACGGAATATGGAAAAAGAAGCTACCTGACTACCAAAGTCTTTGGGATTGTGTGAAAAGTAAATTGAACGATATCAACACAAGTTACTTTTACATTCGCACAAGAAGTTTTGATTGTCAACACTTAAGGATTACAGAAACAGTGACCCCAGGCAATTATGACACCATTGCTTTAGAATTCGACCCAAACCCATCTATCGTTTTCAATCTTCTTGCAGTCGACCTGAAAAGACGTAATATCTTCACCGACTCTTGTCTGAGGGTATGCCCGCTATGTGGTCGCAAAGCAGCAATGGGATTCAGAATTGGACGGTGATCCAAATTGGCACACATTGAGTCGACAGATAATTTGATGAAAGGAATGAGAGCTCTGTTGCCTGCTGCTGTGATTTTGAAGCGCTGGGTCATTGGTTAATGTTCGTCTAATTGATGATCAAATCTAGCAAGACCTACTAGTATTATTACGGAACATTTCTTTTCAATGTATATAGACTATGTATGCCTAGTTTGGGAATGTTTGGAAATGTTGGAGAAATGCACACACTTACATCAGTGTCCATACCCGCCTACAATCTTGCAGGTGTGTTATGTTATGTGGCAGGAGGTAGCGACACACACACAAATTAATGACTTTTTCATGTGTACATATGTATTTGTGTTAATTTGGACAGTTTACAATTTCAAACCTTATTTCAAACGTTTGAAAATGAAACATTTCCCTTAAACTTCCCCGTACAGAAATATATAGGGAATTGTACAACATGTTTGATGCAGGTTTGGCATATATGAGATAAGATTGGCACACTGATGTTTGAAATACCAAGAGAAATACAAGCCGAATCAATAACTTTTGTCACTTTATTTCCTTCCATGACCATGTACAGGCATCAATGCACCATCAAACCTTATGAAATACATTGGAAATATATGGACATATAGCTTCTAGTAATTTGATCTCTGCATACGCTCGGTATCCATGCATTGTCTTTAAACAAAGACAGAGCTCGTTAGACAAGACAAAGAATGCTCAGTACACTCCCGACAAGGCAGTTGCTGTAAGCAAATATGCAAACATTTTCGGCATTAGCCTTTTGCTTGCTAAAAAATTTGCAATGGGGACCAGTCTTTGCGCAGGCTTTGAGAGACAAGTGGAAACGTGGAATAGCCGGGTATGACGACTGCCTGAATCAGGTGCGGGAAGGCCTGGTGGCAAGTCGGTATCACAGTGGTGTCTTGTACATCCAGTTCTCGGATTCCTCTCAACACATGTTCACTCTGTGCAAGGTGGCTGGTATTCCTGAAGGTCATCAGGTCATCAACGTCAAATACTCCTCCTCCACAATGGATGGGCCCAATCTTGTCCATTTCCTCAATGAGGATCTGAAGCGTATCGGTGTTCACCTTCAGCCGGGGGACTTCCGAACAGAACCAAAGTGTGGCTGTCGCGTGGCTTTTCGGTACATGACAAAACATGAGTAACTGATGTACCAATAATTGTCACATTGTGTGGTTTGGTGCAATTAATGTATACTTCCCAGTCGAATAACATACAATCTACGGCAACCTATCCTTGTCGTAAAAGGCGACTATGCTTGTCGTAAGAGGCGACTAACGGGATCGGGTTGTCAGGCTGGTTGACTTGGTTGAAGCATGTCATCGTTCCCAATTGCCCAGATCGATGCTAATGATATCAATCACTGGATTGTCTGATCAAGACTCGTTTATTTACAGACCGCCGTCAAATAGCTGGAATATTGCTGAGTGCGGCGTTAAACAACAAACCAACCAACCAACTTTTAGGCATAATCGTCGATTAAGCAACGTGGCACACAGGTGTTTGAGAAGGTGAAAGACGAAAAATAACAAATAATTAATTGATGTAACTTGTTTACACTAATAAACAGGCGACTATAATCATATTCTCCTGACAAAAGCGCACATGATGAATATACAGCTAGTTTGCATTTCACGCTTTGTAGTGGAGAGTATAGTTGTATATAATGTTTATACTTTTGATAGTGGTAGTGCGTCCAACCGGAGAGCGGAAGGTCCGGGGTTCGATCCCCGGCCGCGTCATACAAAAAGACGTTGACTTGTGACGGTTGAGTCATGTGAATACATCCAAGTTGTGCTTGTATCATATGTATTGTGTAATAAAATACCTACATATTTTACTGTTGCTTTTAGTGTCTTTTGTCTTTGTTTGTTAACGCCGCACTCAGCAATAGTCCAGCTATATGACGGGGGTCTGTAATTAATCGAGTCTGGACCAGATAGGATGACATGCATCAACCACGTCAGCCAGCCTGACCACCCGATCCCGTACGTCGCCTATTACGGCAAGCATGGGTTGCTGAAGACCTATTCTATCCCTGCTTTTTGTGAGTAAAAACGGATTTAAACCGCATAAACAAAAGGACTAGAAGGAGGAGAGACGTAAGTGTTCCAAACTTGGGACATTATCCACAGAAGGGAGAGATCCACGTTTGTCGCAGAACTGTCAGAATCGGAAATTCGAACAGACGATATGTGGACCTCGCAAGGCTAAGAGATGACCGTCTGTACTGTGAAATGTTTGTTACTCTTCAATAAATGTTAAAGAATTATGACCCTGCTTCACCATCAGGAAAACATCTTGTCATCCTTCATTGATAGATACTTTCAGGTGAAGGTTTTATGGTGTATGAATTCTGTACATTTCGTCCTGAGAATCTTAGCTGCTTAAAGAGTTATGGTTATTACAGGGAGAACAACCACATTTCTGTTTTCATAAAATTTTACAATCCAGTGAAGTGCTAATGTTCCGGATATCCTATGCTAGAATGAGCGTTTGACTGTGGAGGACATTGCACTCATTGTTAGATACGTCGTCTCCTGGCAGACTTCTCGGATGTATAACAAGGGTGCGGCTGTGCAGTCCGTTGCCCGTTAAGGGCCGTGGCTAGCTGATGGAGCTCTTCGGAAGTGTTTCTGTCTTCTCTTACTAGTACATATAGGATTACTTTAGTACATGTCAAATGTGGGTATGTCAGCAGAGGATACTCCGAGTCCAACAAGTATTTCTTTAATTCTGACATTAGCGTTCTGGTAGATGAATCGATCGTGTTTAGAATTTGTTCTAGTATGGAATCGATGTATCAAAGGAGATAATTTATTTACAATTTCCCAATTAAGAATCCTTAATTCCGTTCGGGCGTGATAATCTATCTGGACCGTAAGACATTAAAGATTCTGGGTTAAGATTGGTTTTCAGCAACCCACGCCTGTCGAAAGAGGAGACTTTGATGATGGATGTCATCATATCCCAATTGCGCAGAACGATTCTCATAATGTCAATCCCTGGATTCTTGTCTGGTTCTTACTCGATTATGTATAGATCGACAAACAAACAAACAAACAAATATATTCCTTGTGATTTGAATAAGGTAGTGGTGATGATTCTGACAAGCTTAATGGCGTATATTTTAAGTGCGCTCCATACTTCCAGTAAGAGGGGAGACAACTCACTTGCACTTACACAGACACAGATCACGGTGAAATGACACAATATCACTATACCATTTCTGAGATATTATCTTGGTAAAGGATCATATTTATTTTTTATATTGTATGTATCTCTCATTCACTCCACACAAACAAAGAGTATTCAGTCAGCAATTACTACATGACACGAATATGACAAAGTAGACACAATTTATGGATAACAACTTTAATACTGTAAAGGCGACGTTTCAGTACAGATCCCCATGCCCTTGTCAAGCAAGACTGAATGAAGAACATTGTACAGAATATATATAGTAGGTGGAGCCTGTGCAAACAGTCTGTGCACTTGCAACATGACAAACATACATAGCGGTGGACGTATTCCATGTTTTTCGAGGATACATGTTCAAATCAAACAAGCAGAGCGTGAGTGAGTTAGTTAGGTTTAACGCCGCTTTGAACAAGATTCCAGTTATACCACGGCGTGTCAGCATGAAGTGGGATGAAAGCCCGAAGTGATACAGGTCTTAGACGTTTACCGTTTTGGTGAAACCCACGGCACGGATGCTGACACACCTAGAAACAAAATCGGGGGGAACCGGGATTCGAAACACATAATCATAGGTTTGCCCACGAAACGCAACTCTGCACAGCGACTTGCGTCGCCTTACATGACCAGTCAAGAAGAGACATGATTGACAGTCATGTGAGTGTTTCTGGAAGACGTGTCCTGCAATAGTGTCCGCATGTCATGTCATGTCATAACTCATGTAAATAAAATAATAATGGTTATATTGAAAGAAACTAACAACGCAATTTAATGTTTTAGGTGCAGGTAACCATGGATATCACAAAGAATTGGGCTGCACAACAACCACGTCTTTGCCATCCCTTTACCGAGAAGAGGTCAAACAAATTGCAAGGGAGAGAGTGGAGTGAGGAGGCCATGCCAACATTTCACATCTACACCCTCTACCGAGCCAAAAAGAAGATGTTTCCACAGTGACCCACCACTAGACACTACTTAGAACTACAGACCAGCTCTGCAAGACAGAGGGTGGTGATAGTTTTCTGCTAATAGACGACGGTGACTAAGACAAAATGGGATTCGCAACAGACAACATTCGTCATCTCTGCGACGCTGAGGTAATTTGTAGCGATGGAACAGCAGGGGTGCCAATTATAAGGTTCCTTCAACTGGTCATCATTCACACATTTGTGGGCAGAGAGATGTTCCGTCACGTATCTTCACTGATTCCCGACAAGAAGCATACTACGTACGACAGGATGTTCCAGATTTCCAGATGCTGCTACTGTGAGAGGATAGCAGCTTTCGCTCCAAACCTTTGAGGAATGAATTCAATTAAACCTGATGTGCGGTTATTTACCAAAAAGAGACACGGGTGGCCCAGTCGTCTAAGGCGCCGCGATTCGCTGAGCAGAGTTGCGTCCTGGTTCGAATCCCGGTTCGCCCCGATACTTTTCTAGGTTTGTCAGCACCATACCCGTGCTCGTGGGTTTCACCGAAGTGATAAACGTCTGAGACCTGCATCACTTCGGGCTTTCCTCCCACATTAAGCTGACACGCCGCTATATAACAGGAATACTGTTAAAGGCGGCGTTAAACACAACTCACTCACTAACTTTACAATGGCGGTCTGTAAATAATCGAGGCTGGACCAAACGATCCAGTGCTTTGCATCATAAGCATCAATCCATACAATTTGGATCGATGACACGCATCAACCAAGTCAGCGAGCCTGACCTCCCGTTAGTCGCCTCGACAAGCATAGTCGCCTTTTACGGCAAGCATGGGTTGCTGAAGACCTATTC